ACGAGCGATAAGGGACTGGAAAGAAGATCAAGGTCAAAAACACAAAAATACATGAAGAAAGAAGAAAGCGAGAATGGAGATTAAGCAGATACCCGACCAGTAGGAACGATGACATCACGCAGGATGCTCTGGCCTGGTTCAGGACATCCACCATAGCCAAGATCCCTTCGTTGAGACTCTCCTGCTCTATGCTCTCGGTAGCATCGTCGAGCAAGAAGAGAATCGACGTTGGGTCTTGAGGATCCATCCACTAGAGCAGCGACTCACCCCGCGCGAGCGAGCGGCTGCCCCCCGACGTCAGGGCCAAGGGCAACCCACCGCTGGTCCTCTCCACCACTGCCTTAACGCCCGAGGACCCATCTGCCGTGTCCCCCCCCCGTCCGGACCGCCTCGGGCGCCGTCACCTGGGTCCCTGGTGGCACGGATCGTGCCGCTTCCTCGGGCACCACCGTGGCTACGTCCGGCTATGCCTGGCTTGTCATGGTCACACCCACCTCCGCTTGCGACGCTAGGGCCTCGACTTGGGCGCCGCGCCCACCACGGATGGCGCCACAAACGCGAGCGGCAGCTCCATCCGCTCCGACGTAGGCAGCGAAATCACCTCCGCCGCCGTTTGCTTGGTGACCTCCGAGGGCGCTCCTTCAGCCCCGGCATCCGCTTGACCCGTCGAGGGCACATGCGCCACCACGAGGCGGCACCTGATCGACCAACGAGGCCGCAACATCGGCTCCTCTCATGTCCGAAACAGGAGCGACGTCGGGCGATGACCCCCGTCTCGCCTGAATGGCGACGCTCTTCTTGGGCGCCACCGCCAAAAAGCTGCGCTGCCTCAAGATGCTGCAGTAACACAAAAAGCATGAATCACGATGAAAATAGAGAAAAACAGAGAAAAAGCAGAGGAACTGGTGGCTTACATCGGCGTTGTTGGGTGGGGCCATTTGGGGGACGAACCCCCAGGTCTCTACTCCGCCTCGTCGGGGCGGGACCGTTTTGAGCCTGCCCCCTGCTCCTGGGCAAAGGGGCCTGCCTCCCTTGTGTCCGGGGGCTTGGCGGCGGAGCCGCCTCCCTCCACCGACACCTTAGGCGCCGCGGCAGATCTGCCCGCCCTTGATGACTCTTGAGGTGCGGCGGCGGGGCCACCCCCCTATGCTGGCACCTCGGGTGTGGTGGCAGACTTGCCCGCTCCTGCTATCTCTTGGGGCAGGCCAATGGTTCGGCCCATCTCCGCCGGCCCTGCGGATGCACTTTCCCCCACGTGGAACGAGAAAGGCCCCTGCGCAGACAAGTGGATACCTGTCAGCGTATCCTCGCTCACCGGGTCATCCCACTCAATGTCGGCAACTACCTCGTCATCCTCCTCCTCGTCGTTGTCATCATTGTCTTTCTCCTCTCGTCGCTCCCATGCCCGCAACTTCTGTTGCTTCTTCTTCCTCTCGACCTCCTTTGTCTTCTTCTGCAACTCAGTCACGGTGCGATTCACCGCCGCCATGAGCGGGTCCTTCAGTAGTGGAGCCAAGCGATCCATGAAGATGAGTCTCTTCGGCTGGTCCCACTATCCCAATGTCAGCATCAAGGGGTCGAAAGTTCAATTAAAAAGGAGGCACGAGGAAAGAGAACTTACGAAGTCAATGTACCCCGGTTCCGGCCGTATTGGGGGATGCCCTGGCACCGGATACACAAAATCAAGAGCGACGCTAGCATCATCCCGTAAGGGCTCCATCGCCTCCTTGATGCGCTGCGCCACTTCGGAGGGGGAGAGTGCTCCCTCGGCGAGCGCCGTCCCGTCAAGCGCCACCCCAGGCGCCATCATGTGCAGGGGAAGCAAGCACCTCATCAGCGGTGCCACTCTCCGCATGTGGTAGTCGCCAATGATCCCCGACCCCTTCACGCCCCCTCCTTCAAGATGCGGATGGCGGCGAGGTGATCCTAGATCTTCTTCTTGTCTTTATCCGGGACCCCCACTTTCTCCACGATTCTAGGACCTCTTCGATGAGGCGCCCGGAGAACGCTGGCAAGGGGGCGGCTACGTCGTCCTTGATATAGAACCAATGCAAATGCCACCCCTTGTTGGAAGTCAACAGGCACATCAGCGGGTATTCATTTACCCAGTTGTTGCGGAGCTGAATGCCGACGCATCCCATCAGCACGCTCAGCTCCTACCTCTTCTCCCGCTTCTTGAGGAGGGCGATGGCAAAGAAGTGCAGCCACAGGTCGAAGTGGGGACTAATCCCCAGGAACCCCTCACACAGGGCAACAAACGCCGCAATGTGTTGGATCCCGTTGGGAGTAAGGTGCTACAGCTCCACATTGTAGTAAATCAGCAGCCCCCGAAGGAACTTGTGGGCGGGGGTGGCGAATCCCTACTAGTGGAAGTGAACGAAGGACACAATGTAGCCTTCGAGCGGTGACAGCGCGTCCTCATTGCCGGGTAGCCACCACTCCTCGGCGGCGGTCCGCGCGCAAAGAAGGTCACGGTGAATGAGGCCCTCCAGGCGCTCGGGGGTGACATCAGATCTATACCACCGCTCCATTGAACGATTGGGGAGGGTGGATGCGAACTTGGCGGTGGCTGAGATACGGATGCGGAAGTCTTAGGCGATTGGCGGCGGAGGTTGTGGATGCAAAGGCAAGAAGGCAATGTACGAAACCCTGGGGGGCGAACCCTTTGGTTTTATAGGGGCGCCGGATGCGAGGAAGGCAACCATCCGCCTGGATCTCCATGCCTGCCATGATTCGCCACCACGTCACCATGCGGGATATGTGCTCGCAATCCCTATCCTTTCCCACCAAAGTCGCGCCGGACGTTTTGCCTTCCCGGGCAGACCAGGACTCTTTACCAGCAGAAGGATACGGGTTAAAAAAGCGTTCCTCCGGCTCGCCTGGGCCCAGGAGTTCGAGGGTTGGCCCATCAACGGTTTCAACGACCATCCCAAGGCAGCCTTACGACGATGGATGGGCCCACGAGCGGCCAAAACCCAGGCGCACGAGTGCCACAAGCATATCAACCCACGATTGAGTCTCAGCCAGGCTGACTCTTGCCAGATCCCCGCGAATGGGATACTGAGACTCTAATCGAACTATCTTGTTATCAAAACACCAAATCTCATAGCCATACCCGCGAAGAGTCCGAAATACCCCCTGGGCGATTCTATCCGAATCACCCGGGGGCTTGGGGGGCTACACCCGACGGGTGCGCTCGTGCGCACCCTCTGGCGAGTCAAAATACCCCCCGGACGATTCTATCCAAATCACCCGGGGACTCGGGGGCTACACCCGACGGGTGCGCTCGTGCGCACCCTTTGGCGAATCGAAGTACCCCCCCGGACGATTCTATCCGAATCACCCGGGGGCTCGGGGGCTACTGTCGGGGACCAAATAACGGGGTACCCAAAGAGGAGGATCTGATAACTATCAAACGTTGATGCTTCCGAATAGACAAGAACACAACTACACTTCTTGCCTGACCCCTGAGGGCTGGTTCCGCCTCGCCCGACGCCTGGGGGCAGACTTCGCCTCGCCCAACCCCTATGGGCTGGACTCCGCCTCGCCCGACATCCGGGGGCTGGGCTCCGCCTCGCCCGATGTCCGAGGGCAGGCTCCGGCTCACCCGACGTCCGGGGGCAGGCTCCGCCTCGCCCGACGTCTGTACGCTGCTCCTTCATATCTACACGTGCAGATAAGGCGGGGCACTCAAGTCAACCGCAATACAGAGGACCACACCCTACACGCCTGCAGGAAGGTACCATCATGATATGACTAGACGAGCGCTTTAAGCCCTTCTAGGCATGTCAGAGCCCAAACAGTGTTGTGGGCGCCGACATTTATCCTACAGTGTTATGGGCACCGGCATTTGCCCTCGGACATGAATTCTGACGGAAACATACGACAGCCGCTACAGTCCAGGAGGAAACTCATGTCATCTACAGTAACAAACGTGGGGCCTCTACGCCATCCGCTCCCCGTAGGGTCGCGGCTCGGCACCCTAGCACGCCGCGCCGTCCGCCGAAGTGGGATGGGACGTGACCACTTACTGAACGAAACCAGAGCACGGCCCTATCAAGATCAGGAAACGTGCTATCCCTGGCACCATCTGCCATGTCAGCGGGGCAGACTCAAAGGAAAAGGAAGACCCGGCACCTTCGAAGGACCTTCTCTGCCTCTAGTTTTTCTTCTTTCTCCCATCTGTAATCCTTGCTCCCCCTTGGTCTATAAAAGGGAGGGCAGGGCACTCCACTAAGAGGACGGATCAATTCAACACGCCACGCACCACATAACACATAGCTGAGCAGCAACTAAGCTCTGGCATCCTTTTAACCTTTCCATCAGAGACTTGGGACATGTCTCTCTCTCGACCGTTTGTACCCCTACTACGAACCTTTCGGTGCTAATAACACGAGCAGCAGCAGCAAACTGGACGTAGGGACGTTCTGCTCGAACCAGTATAAACCTGGTGTCTTTTAGCACGCCATCCGGACCTAACACGCAACGAATACAAATTTACTAGTTGATGACACCGACTAAACCCAAGTGGTGAGTTCTTTCCAATTTCCACGCAGAGGTCTGGTTTCCTAATTAGTAACGAGGGGTAAATCGGACTATCCCATACAACAGGTTTTGCAGTTTTGCGCGAGACTGCCACCAAAACGGCTACAGCATAACAGCAGTATCAACTTTAATACAAAGTGGCCCATTCAGAGTTGAGTATTAGGAGAGGCAAAAACACCTGCCATTTGAACATCTTTGACTGAAAAATAGCTTCATCCACAAGACCACAATGAAACACAAGGAGTCAAAAAGCAATGGTATACATAGTAGTATCTATATCGCACAAACGAATGCCCATTTTCTGGTCTCTGCAAACCTACGCTGCTTATACAACTTGTGTACCTCTCTCTTCAGAGGAAAAGGGCTCTCATGGCAAAACAAACAAAGTTACAGCTTCACAATCAGACCCATCCACTTGGACAACATGGTGGATGGTTATGGTCAAACAAACCGTATCAAGCAAAGAGCCGCCTTCTCCGCCTGCCTGCTGCCTTCTCCACCTGCCTGCCGTCAGCAGACTCCCCATGCACCACCTCGTCCACCAGCTCCTTGAATATCGACCTTTCGATCTCCAACACCATCCCCGGGAGCTCCTTGCTGAAGCTCGTCCATCCCTGCAGCCTCTGCAGGATCTCTGCATCAGGTATCACGCTTCCTTCCTTCTGCCAGATGGACGATCGCTCCATGTCCAGGTCTTCGATTCCTGAGGATATGAACTTCAGCAGTTGCTGCCCGCTAGGAGTCTTTGCAGGTGGATCCTTCGCTCTGGTGAAGGAACTGACCGAATAAACTGCGGTTTCCTTCTCAAACTTCTGAAGCAGAAGCTCATTCACAGTGTCAAACATCAGCTTCCGGTGCGCTCTCTTGGGATCAGATTTTGCGCCGCTTCTGCTCTGATGGATGCTATCAGGTATACTGACCCATCCTGCCTTTCTTTGCTCCAACATGTGGAACAAGTCAGGGTTGATTGGGTAGCCAGAAGAGTGGAGCTGGAGACCTGCCTGTCCTGAACCTAGGTCTTTCATCAGAAGACCCGAGGCCAGCAGTATCTCAGACATGTAGCGGTGGTCTGGGCTTTCTGTCTCACACAAGAAAGCAATATGGTCAACCGGAGGTGCATCCTCATCCTTGTTCACGCTAAGCTGCTGGAGCTTCTCAAGCAAGCTCGCAACATTGGCGAGTTTATTGTTCTTGAACTGCATAGCAACCTCTATTGGCTTTGTATCAGAAGGTTTCCAGGGTTCCTCTAATGTTTGGCGCTCATCATCTGCAGGTTTCAGGGAACAATGCTTAAGTCAATATCTGGGTGACAAAAATTTCAGTAAACAATCATGCACGCTAGTTAATCATTCTAGCACATCTGAGTTTACAAATAGCAAGTGGACTTAGCAAAGAGCCCAAACATTCTCCTAGTCATTTTCACTTAACGGGTCTCTAATGTTGCTGTCGTGTAAATTTCACTCGCTGTTGTCAAATTTGCAAATCTATTATAACCTATGCAGTACTTGAGAATTGAATACGCACTGCAAAAACTGATTTATTTACACATCCGTGATGATTTGATGAAGTCCATTATAGTGCAAGAGTATATATGCACTAGTAGTAAAATTTAGAAAGTGTGTCCACCAAGCAATTTGGTGCAGTATCACTGAAAATTTACACTGCCAAGAATTTAAGAGAAAGCCATGTTGATGTAACACAGAGAAAGCCATGCTGATGTAAAGGATATAGGAGAATGCATGGTATATTGTGCTTCAAACACACAGAGAAAGCCATGTTGATGTAAAGGATATAGGAGAATATTGATTTGGTAGGTGCAAACTGCAAAGTAAAGTAGTTTTTCCTTCTGTTACCACTTTCATCCTTTCCATCTAGAGGACTTGTAAAGATTGTAGTAGCTGCTGCTTATGCAACATTACACTAGCCAAGATGGCATGTGCCAGTAAAAGCATGTACCACAAAACCCAATGTGATACTTGCTTACTATGCCAGGAAATGATGCCACCTACGAATTTTGGCATCACATTGTGCACAATAATTTACAGTGGAATCAGTAAAAGCATTGGGGCTGTACAAAATGGAGTACACATAAAACTTTCAGTTCAAATGTTGCTTCAACAGTGCAATGGGCAACTAGAATGAACAAAAGGTAAATTGAAACATTAAATAAGTGAAACAAAGAATCATATTTGAGCTTCCAGTTGCTAGTGTTAACAAAAAAAATTTTGGAGAGATTGTAAAAAGATTATCGTACCAACAGCAAGTGAATTTGGAGTCCTGCTGGTAGGGAACAAATCCTCCTGATCAAATGAAGAGTCCAACACAGAAACTGGACTGGGCCGTTCCGAAATAGTAGCCGAAGGGTCTACAGATGGCACATCCTTGCTTGCATCATATGAAGTTTTCTAAAGACAAGACACAAACCATAAAAATGAGATATGTAGCATCGTATGTCGTATGATTTAATCTGACATCCTTGTTTCCTAACCCAACTACAACTAGCCTTGGAGAGAGATTTATAGAAGACCAAAACCAGTTATTATTTTCTTCAAAGTAGTTAAGTACTTGAAATTAAAAATTTCATGTTAAAATTAGTGAAGCTTTAGAAAGAAGGCGTAATTGCAAGGAAATTCTTTACCACTTTTTGTGGGTTCCTTCCAGATGGACTTCCAATGCCTTGCTCAAAGTTAGAAATATTAACTTCTGTAGATCTGTCATTGCTTATGATATCCAGCTCTGAAGCAACACTTATATTGCCATCTGACCTTGTGGACATATCATTGCCATGCTGATTCAGGCTCCTTGTCCTGTTGTTGAATCCATTGGGCATGCCATCATCACCTTCTTGTGGACGCACAAGTTTCCTTCTGAATTTGCTTCGGGGTGACACTGTTTCTGAATTATTCCTATCTCCAGATTGCCTTTGGCTTTTGTTAGACTCAGCAGAAGGGATAGGTGGTCTAGCCCTCCGCTCTGAATCAAGTTTTCTCTGTAGTAACCTTGGGCTAGTGGAGTTTTTATTCTTTTGCATACTTATGTTACTGTCTCTTGGCAGCTGCTGTCTTCTGGATGAGCTCTCAGTAACCAGCAGTGAACTAGATTTTTGGTTTTTGCTGCTATCGTCATTCCTTCCATATGATCTCCTGTCATAAGAAACAAGGGGTTGAGAAATAGGCACCTTTTGACTAAATTTCGCATGTTGCTCTTTAGCTGTTCTATTGATCGTTGAAGCTTTCCTTCTATCAGTGCTATTGCTTGTTTGCGAATGTGGGGGATCAGATGAACCCCTTCTATCAGTGCTATTGCTTGTTTGCGAATGTGGGGGATCAGATGAACCCCCTAATGGGAAGACAGAAGAATCCATTTCGCTGAAAAGGTTTGCAGATTTTGAAGGTTTCATGATCACAATAGGCGATTTGAAAGAGCTTTCAGCATTGCTCTCTTCAGGCATCCACATGTTGTTGGTGTTACTGTTCAGTCTCATGTTCACACTGGCTGTCTCTTGGCCATCATGGTTTCCATCATATAACTTTGGCATAGATGCTTCCTCCCGTTTCTTGTTTTCCAATAGTCCTTTTGCTTGCATGGAATCCAAAATCTGTTTAAGCGCTCTAAGGTCCTTGTTTGATTGTTGAAAATCAAGATCCTTGAGCCGCTTCTCTATGTCACTGAAGACTGATGCAGCAGGTTGTTCTCTTGCATGGGCTCCTTTTGATCCCTTTGGCAGTTTTCGAGGAAGGACAATCCTTTCTTGTTGCTTCCATGGTGCAGTTTCAACAGGAAACTTAGAGTTGGGTAGATTTCTTACAGTTGAATCATGATTCCTTTGTTGTCGAAGAGCATGCTCGTTGTGGGATGAGATGCTCAAGGGGTTCAACATGGCCTCTTGCTTGCTCTCTTGAATGGTTTTGCACGCATGTGATGATGCTGTACTTTGATTATGCTCAGGCAACTCTTCCAAACCCATGAGCTTTGCAACAACGCTAGGAAGCCGCTTGCAGGCAGGCTGTTCCTGATGGATCTCGAAAGCTGCATTGGACCCAGTAACAGTGTTGCTGCTTCTGTCTGCAGAACTCAAGCTTGGGTTTGATCTAGAGTCAATTTCACGATTCCAAAGGTGACCGTCCTTGATGTCCAGTGACAACCTTGGTACCTCCCTCAGTTTTGATGCTGCTTCCTTCCCATCGTATGAGAACCGAGGAGCATCATATGAAAGTCTTGCATGATGGGCAGATTCAGGAGGAGTCCACGAAGCTTCCCTGAGCTTGGCTAGCACTCGAAGCGATTCATTGATGTCCACGAGACCCTTGCTTTTTCCTTGTGTACTGTCACGGGGAGGCCCATTCAATTGCCTAGGTTGATCTCTACAATTGGATGGGTGATCTTTTCCTTCTTCTTCAGTGCAAATTCTGGCTGACAATTCACGGTTATCCTTATAGATTGAATCCTTCACAAGATTTCTTATACCAAGAGTTGGCAGGCTGGATTGAACTATGGGCATGTTCTTGGACTTGGTAGGCGCATCATCAGGGTAGCCGAGGCCATTGTCACTGTCAAAAGAACTCTTGAGCTTCGGTGAGCTCTTGAACGGCCTCTCTGGAAATAGCATTCGGTCAGTGGATGATAGGTCTTGTTGTGTTGACCTGTTGCCATCAAGGGACGAGAATGACGAAGAGGGTGATGACGAATATGAGGTTTGAGACAGTTCTGCTGCTGGTGCTCTTTGGCTATCAGCCCATGTTTTACTCGAGTTCTTCTCCTGAATGCAGTTTGCAGTAACTCAACTCAGGATTTGTGTGTCAGTAAAAAACATGTATAACTACTCTACTGCAAACACAAATTCAGAAACTTACCAGAACAATCTGGGGTGAATATCTTGTGCACTCTCCCCCTTTGCTTGGGCTGCTGGATAGTGCATGGCCTGCTGCAAGAAGTGAAATCAGTGTCAGTGCTGAACCAGGCAAAAGAAGAGCATGCCTTTCTTATAACAAAAAGGGAAAAGGACAACATTGCAAAAACAGAAGTAAGCCAGGGAAAATCTTGCAATGGTTTTGTCACTTGATGTTGATGATATAGAGGAAAAGAAAAGTGACAGTTCCTTTTGATCGAATGGACTGTGTGTACAACCCTTCTCCCTTTCAGTCAGGGACATTTTTCTTATCTGAAGGAAGGTTCCAAAATTGCAAGGACTGGTTTTTGTCGGTGGCTGATTTGGAGATAGTTGGGGCTGTGAAAGGACGGTTCTTGGTGTATCATCAGCAAGCACCTAACTTTTCGTCCAAAAAAAGAGGCGGGGCATCATCATACAACCAACCAACACCTTGGCTGGAAAAAGTGGTAACTCATCAGTTACCAACAGCACCTAGCAGCAATTCATTGCAGGTTGAGTGCAATTAACACACAACTCTGGACTGGAGCATGCATCTGCAGGGACTTAAACCTGCGGAGCACTTGGGTACAGGCTGTTTTCCATACTAAAAATCACAAATACACCCTGATCTAATCCGTGTCTTTAAAAAACTGAGTTCTTTGTTAATGGGCACATCCCAAGTAAAAGATCACAAGGCAAAGAGATAGACGGCATAGATCACGGCTGGAAGCACGCCAAACTAGAATGGCATGCGAAGGCTACACACACAAGCGCAGGGCACAGCCGCACAGGGGATCTCCATCCTTGCAAGAGAGAAGAGAAGAGCAAGGAAGCGAACCTGTTGGGGGAGGAAGGAGCCTCTTGTGGGAGGAGGCGAGAGGGTGGCGGCGGTCGAAGGCCTGCAAGATCCCGGTGACGCAGCCCACCTGGCGGTGGAGGTCCGGGCGCCTGTCCTCCGCCAACGCCCCCAGGCCCAGGTACTTGGCCGGCATCCTCCGGTACGGCTTCCCTTCCCCTTCCCCTCTCGTGGAAAGAGGAGGCGGCGCAAGGGAATCCGGAAATGCAGGAGGCTGCCCTCCTTTGCAGCAGGTCAGGAAGAAGAAGGTGTCATCTGTAGCTGTCCCGCCGCATTTCCCGGAGGAGTTTGGGGGACCTCACCAGAGGGAGAGGGAACGCTCCCGGGAGGGAGAGACGGTCGTGCTCGTGCCTCCCTGACGGTGAGCATCAACCAAGGAGGCCAGCCACCGGACCGCTGCTGCCTCTCACTCTCAGTCACTGTCCAGCTCCAGCCCTCCAGCTAGAAGGATGGCAGGATTTCCGGTGCCCTCCTCCTCTCCTTTCGTGTCTTGTTCCTATGGCGTATGGCCGGGGAGGGAAGTGGGAGGCAGCACTTGTGACCTGTGACTTGTGAGGAAGATTACGGAATAACTGAGGACAGAGCGGAGGCCGGCATTGCGCTGCTGCATAAAAGATGGGAGCTTTTACCATGGAGAGGTGGCAAGTCAAATAAACCAACCAGCGAAGGCTGAGAAAAGAGGAGGTGGGGCGTGGCCGCGTGGGGGAAGGAAGACTCGACGGACAAAATATGGTTGGATTGCGCTGCCATGGCCTACTCCTTTGCTTGCTGGGACCAGACCAGCCAAGCCATTGCAAGCTTCTCTCTCCTGTCCTCAGCAGCAGCACCCCATGTGCCCCGTCTCTCTCCCTCCCTCTGCGCGTGTACGTGTACACCCCCACCGATTTGGCATCTGGTGGCGAGAACTGTGAAGGCGGCAACCAAGACCTGTGAAGCAAGAATTGGTTGGTTGGGAGGAAAAAAAATCCTGGTGTTCCTGACCGCCTGGTTGCTGGGCTGTGGGCTCAGTAAAAGCTAACTAACGATGGGATTTCTCTGTTTGGATTACTGCACTGCATTATCTTCTAATTTTGGTTTGGGGTCAAGGAGGAGGCATTGAATGCACGGGCCACCAAACGAAACGAACAGGGAGCTGCCACTAACCAACAGTGCATTCATGGTGTTCATCCGTGAAGACCATACGTCCACACCACACTGCCCAAGTCGTGCCGTTGAAGCATTGCAGGATATATGCAGTAATGCCAGCTGCACAGCGCAACGCCGATCGACACCTACAGTACTATGTCATTTTCATCTTCCCTGACACCTTGTATAACCATTCCCCTATCTTGGCTGAAGGAGAAACTTGCTGATTTGCTGAATATACACAAACTAATGTGACCTTACACACAATAAAAAAGAAAAAGAAATGTTCACTGTTGATGCATGCTACCCGCTATGGTGAGTTGACCCAAGTTGAAGCACCGGCAGTCCTACTAGTTAGAGCTTGAACCTGCCTGGTAAACAGGTGCAACTGAATCAAAAGATGAAACAAGGGATATGGAGTACATAATCTTATTGATCAACAGATTAAGGGAAACACAACGGACATGTTTCTCGGTTACCTAGAGATTATTAGATTTTGACAGAGGCTGAAGTTTATTGGGTGATTCACTTATACTTGAACACCCCCTCATGTGCAGGTTATTTTTTTTAATTACACTACTAGTCATATTTCTTTTCAGGTTAATATGATAAGAATTTGTAGTCAACATTTAAACTCAAAACCTCTAACACCGATATCATATTAAGTTGCATATATAGATCAATTTAACCCAAAATTCAAACTGATTAGAGAAAGGTGAGCAAGAGTCCCTTGGTATGTATGGACGGTGCAAAGAAGACGCTGCAGGTGTAATGATTCATTTGCCCACGCACTGGACTGGATCCCAGTATCGACTAAACTGAAAGAGGCAGCCTAACTTTCATTTGCCTCACCAGTACTTGCAACAATAATTAGCAGCACTCATCAACAACTGACACTTATTGCTTCGGTTTCTCCAGTTATTGGATGTATATATATATGTAGTATGTTTCAGTCCAGAGTCTATGATGTGTGATCTTCTAATTTTTTAGAAAAGAAAACATTATTCTGGCTGAAAAAACAAGTCGAAATATTGTTCCGGCTGATTTGTTGTGAAAGAAAAACGCTGTTCCGGCCGGAAAAAACAGCCTCTTGACTACTAAACAGGAACTAATAATGAAAATCTAAAACAAATAAATATAAATAAGATGTACCATATGGCTGGTACTATTACTAATTACTATATGCACTAATGCAGAGATTTTTGGAGATTGATGGTGGCAATAAGTAATAAGAAGAACAGTTTTGATCATGCATGCGTCTTCCCCTTGCACCAAACACGTGGTGATCCTGACAGTATCCACATCACTGCTAGCCTAGGCTAGCTCAGCATGAAGTAAAATATGAATACCAAGAAATTCTAGGTGGTGGGCAAGATCTGATGCTTGTCTCCATCTTTACCTTTTCCAGCACCTTTCCTACCTTTTCTGGGTGGGAATCATGATGTGCCATTCATTTGATCATGGTACTAGTAGTAGTCGATGAAGGTTACTCAATTCAGGGTAGTAACATCTGCAGAAGGTCAGATTTCATTCAGATGCTCGCTGCTCCTATTTTCACTTCTGACTGTCCATTGTCTTTTACGCCAAATCTACGGCTTCTGTTAGGAAATGGTCAGTAACAGCTAGTAACTGTCACGGGAATGAAGAATTTTGTACGGTACCTAGTGATGGGATTAAAAGGTGATTGGTACTAGTATTTGGGTGTCACAGCCACATGGGGAAAAAAAGGAGTTGGTGGTGGCAAACTGGCAACGCAAGGCAATTACTGTGGCAAGCAAGGCTATCAAGGCAGGACAAGGACAGGACTACAGGAGACAGGAGGAGAGGAGAGGTGTGCCCCCACCTCCACAGGGGCACAGGCTGAGTGAGGCACACCAATAATCTTGCAATTGCAATGCATGTTTAGGGCACAAACAAAAGAGAAAAGACCTATGTGCAGCACCAGCTAGACTGGCTGGATGCACATGATGCTGCTACCTGCATACATATAGTTTTCTCTTTTGCCCATCATAAGTCATCAGAAGGTTCCACCAGCTCCCATGTGACCTCTCTATCTGTATGAAGAGCAGAGTCTGAGCAGCAGCATGGTAGGTCAGGGCTCCTCTCCTCATCTTCTTGATCTGATGATCCATAGCGGACGGATTGATTCCCTTAACAAACAGACTAGTCGGTACAGTATCAAACAAACCAAGCAATTCTTTGTTCTTTGATTCCTTGCATGCAGTATGAGTCCAGTCAAAAGAACCGATATTTGTAGCTGTCAGAAATATATTGCAGCGCACATGGCAGCCATCTATCACATGCACATGTGGATGGAGACTGGTTCTACTGCTAGTAGTATCATATCTAAATATATTTTTGCTTGATCAGAAGACGTATCGAGATTGGAGCAATACCGTTAGAATTGGATATTTGTTTATTTAGCTGTTCAAGGTATCAAGATGATTTGTTTACTTCGATGGAATTAGTTTATTTGCAGCTCCACTTCTCGATGTAGTAAACCATGCATTTGGCCGTATGCAGCGGCATGTCTTCCGGCTTCCCCCTTTGCTTCGACAATCGACATTGTGCTATATAACCAAAGGCAAAAGGGAAAGAAGAAGAAAAGGACAGCTTTCACAAGCCGCACGAGACAGCCAGTACCAACCTCGCAAGCAGGGCATCATCATCTCTGAAGGTGATGTGCTTGTTGTTACCAGCCCAGACAAGTTGCGGCCACATCTTCGTGATGATGTGTGGTCCAAGTCATCAAGGTAGATGTTTTTTCATCGTGCTCATGAAGCATAGCCATCCACACCAATGTATCGTATCGACGAGTGCATGACCAATGCAGCACCAGTTTAGGCATCAGCCTAAGGATCCCTTTAGTATTGTAGTGTGGTGTAGCGAGAAGTATATATGGGGGCACCAATTTATTGGTGGTCTGGTGGAGTGCTCTGTGCTCTGCAGAATCTTGCTTGATCACGTCTCCTTGTGCCACTAGTGTACGCGACATTGCTACTATACAGTGTCCCACGTGGATTGTTAAATGTAACTGTAAGCAAGTCAGCAGCATTTTTGGCATATGCAACAGGCAAACGAGGCCTTCTATAACTCAGGATTCGAATTTATATATGCAAAGGTTTTTTTTTGTTAAAATCTCTCATCAAAAACCAACTTCAATGTTTTTCTAGATATTAGCCTTGCCAGTTGTAGGTAACATCAGAGAAGAAGCTTGAGCAATATTCAGCACCAAGGATGGTATGCTTAGATTAATGCAGACAAGCCAACGTGCAAACCAAAACATGAGAATACTTACAGCATGTCTCTTTTGGATACCAGAAACTCATAATGGCCTGGCACTGGCAATTGAAGGTTTCAGCTGGACCAGGTGGGAACTCCTTGTGCTCCAGCCTCCAGGATGTGCTGCAGAGTTGTGCCACGCGGGACTCGTGACTCTGCAACCTGCACTAAACATCAAACAGGCACATCATGCTGCATTATTCAGTACCCTGACAAGCTGCACCTCAGATGTAGTGACTGCTCACCGTTAGATCAATCTTCAGTGATGGCGTCCTCAACCATCCAAAAGAGTTGCATATACACGTATATAAAAGAGCTAGAGATGCATTATCAGACAGTACAAGGGAATGATTCAGGAAACAGAGGTGGCATGCTGGTCTATACAGCGTGCTGCCAACAGTTGAAAACATGTTTACGGCTCTCAAGGAGGAAAAAAAAACAGATTTTGTATGAAAATGTTTATACCTCTCTCAAGGAGGAAAAATCAGATTTTGCATGAATTGAGAATCTTTTCATGCATAGACCTTAGTACTTCCACAAAATACTCCATCCATACTTTGTTTTTATAACAAACTACCTCTGAATTGAAATATGACATCCAGGACAAATTAATTGGCAAAAAAAAAAAAAAAAAAAAAAAAACTGAGCAAATTAGTTTGTCTCCTAAATGTCATAGATTTCGAATGACACTTAGGACAAGCAAATTAGCTTGTCTTGAACATCGTAGTTTTAAAAACAAGGGGAGACCATCATGGTCTATAACCAACAAAATGGCAAACCTTTCTGAATTGAGCAAGCATTGCGCAAGGCAAGGTCAAGGGTTTAAAGTTTAAACATAAGAAAGGAAGCAAGGCAAGAAACCATGAAACCGGGATGATTTACAACAATTCGAATATATTACAGCTCCATCGAACTGAAACATCCTTGCAGCACAAAACTTCCAACAGTAACTAAGTTACAGCAAGCCAGAAAGCCTGTAATACTCGATACAGGACAAACAATGATTCATCCCTCAGCCAGAAGAACAAAACCTATCAAAATTCTTCAAATCAAGTTTTGTCTATGAAACAACAATTACTAAACTAGATTACACATGATAGCACTGGCGCAATGCAAAACTCCTGCCAAGCAACGCAAACAAATACAAAACTTTTTCTTGACTGAACCTTCGTTCCTATTAACCTAAGGACCTCTCCACTTTATCAACTATTTCCTTTTTCGCTTTATCAACTACTTTCTTTTCCACTTTATCAACTATGTTCTTCTCCATCTTATCAACTATTTTCACATAGAAATTCCAGTTTGGATCACTCTCTGTGATGGACTTCTGACCAAATGGATTATCCCGAACAAAATTTTGAACATTGTCTGCAGCAGCAATTCTCTGCAGATAAACCCGAAGGTCTCCACCAGGTCCTGTTTAGTGTATACTGAACATTAGAATATATGATACTACAAAACGTAAACAGCATTGTGAAATGCTAAAACATACCCAAGGAATAATCATCCCTCTGGTTCAGGTAACTGTAGGGTTCTGGGAAGATTGCAGTGTTTGGCTGCACAAAATAAATAACAGAACCAAAGTGCATGAATTACAAAAATGGACCATAAATTTAACAGAAATCACAGACATGCTATAAAAAAAGGTGAACTTAATACCGGGTTGCACAAAGCCTTGTAGGGCGAATCATCCACCAGTAATGTATTTGAAGGTGAAAACTCTCCCTGCCCCCATGGGAGATTTGGCTCATCCTTATTCCAAACCTTTTTTAGTTCCTTCAGCACTAACGGTTTGTCCTTGTTGTCAATTGTTTTGCACCCCGTAACAGTGCAGTAAGACATGTCCTGACAAACAAGATCAATAAAAACATTAGCACATGAGTAACTAGCAAACCAAAATCATAATAGAAAATAATATGACAACACAGGCGACAGCCGACAGCATTCCAACAAAAGATATGAACTATCATCACCCAACTTCAAATAACAATAAGAAAAATTGGAACTGGTTATTTTGACCTGGAGATTTACAGCGACATCCGTAACATCCATTATCATATTAAAAGTAAGAGTAAGTTTATGATGGGTCAATGTTCTTTGATGCTACACTGTCCTGTAAATAAAGTACGTTTAGTGGGTCATTGGTGGGTCTAAAAAGGCCAACATGCTGAAGTGCTCGTGTGGCAGTCAACCTCAGAAAAGGGGTGCCCTAGATGTTCTTTTGAATTATAAAAAAGAACTAAGTATTCACATATCAATAGTAGCTCACTAGCCCTCACAGTTAAGAAGTGTGATTGAAGCCATTGGCAGCTAAGTGGCCTCCCATGCAGCCATGCCACTTAATGCTTTAGAGATGTGAGGATCCAGTCTGAAGATATTGGTATCTATATGCTACTCGATGCGTTCAGAACTTCAAATGAATTTAACATTTGGATCTTGAATGAGAAAACCAAATGGCAAAATGTCAACAGCCCAAATATCTCCATATATGGCAGAAAGGTGTGATGCCAAAGAAGTGTAGAAGGAAGCAGCTCATTGTGATTCTCTAGGTGTCATTACCAGTATATAGTCAACAAAGCACTAATGTTATTATTGAAGTATAAGTGAATTGTCCACCTTTCCTTAGCAGCTTAAGCTATTGGGTAGAACTAGCCGATGCATGCAATTCCATATAGTATCAGGACTAGAGGTCTGGAATTCGAATCCTGGCTAGTGCAAGTGCAATTAAATAAAATATATTTGTTGCTCGCTCCTATTTCCACGTTTGAGGCCTGGGGGAGCCTGGTCCATTTTGTTCAGTGAAATTATCTTTTTGTTGCAAGGAAAAGGTGTCAGTTGTGAATAGAAGTTACTTGGATGAAGTTTACTGGTAGTAATTCATCAAACCTCATTCAACAGCTAAGCAGTGGAGACTGGGATCTGATATGAATGGATATTACAGATACAAATACAAGCAGTTGTTTCTTTTGGGGATTCGGACTTCAGAGTCAGACACAAATAGTGTCAGATGCATCGAACATTGATACCATCCTGTATACGTATCAGAAATCTGACTTTGAGTATTCAGATTTGGAAACGGACGGATATTGAATGTCCAGATTCATATACAGATTAGCCATTTAGTATTTGAACCATTTTCGAACGGACATCTGCAAATATCCATCCTGTTTTCATCCCTATTGGAGAGTTTCAACACTTCCGAACCTCACCTGCAAGCAGCAAAAATATTCCATGCCAGTATGCCACCATATGTATTTTAAGTTATGTTAATTAGCTTCTGTGAATTAAATGTATTCTGGATTTAAAACTCCTAAAAGACTTGAGCTGAAACGCTATGGCATCGTGTTGTATTTTTTTGTCAAATTAAATAATTCCTTTACTTAATGTTGTTGTGTGCACAGATGCTACCTGAAATGGCAAACTGAAGTTTCAAGCTTATTTTGATTTATTAGTGCCACACATATAGATATACCCACTGCATTACTTTCATAATTTGGTGACAAGTTCATAAACCTTACAACCCATAGTCCAAAGTTTATGTAGCCCAGGGGATAATCTAAGCAGACATACAACTGTGGAGAAGAATCTACATCTAAAATTACAAAATGCAGGGAGAATCTGAAATACACAGAAAATGGGGAGGAGAATGAGATATTGGCTGCGCTTCACATATTGCATTGGACAAGCTAAATTGATTAACCAGGGGTCTTCTATGAAAAAAAAAATGCCCATGAGGACACGCTGCCAATGGCTTAGGTAGTAATCTAGTAACTGATGTGGCTGCTATGAAAACACCAAATGACAACAATGCATTAACTAGGCCAACTAATGGCTCACTAATCGTACTTTAGCTGCCTAAAAAATGCATAGCTATAGTACAATGAGCTAAATGACACAGCATTACCAGTTGATTACCTGCCACCATTTCACCAATGGAAACAATGACCAAAAAGGAAAAATTTGTGACCAGATACAAAAATATACAGCTTTCTATTACTTACCCAACAAAATAGTAGGTATTGCTTCAGATCCCTCATAAGGATATCAACAACCGATTTGACATTTTCCCTGGTGAGTTAGAATATTACAATTAGCGCCATTTATTGTATAAATATTAAAAAGAAAGGAGGGAGCAAAATTAACCTTTTCCTTGATGACCATATTCCTAGCTCAAAATTCTGGAAGCAGAATCTCAGAAAATCATCACAGTACGGTCTTCTGAAAACTGGAACATGAGGCAAATTGCAAATTAGTATGTTTACAATCGTATATCCTACAACCTACATTGCTACTAAAAGAACAGTTTCAACTATTAAGATATCAAGTTTACCTAATTTGGTTCGAACCTTTGCATGTGCCAAGTGTGCATTATGGTAATCTTGATTTATATCTGCTAGCAGACCATTAAGGTCCAAGATCAGAAGTTTCTTCCTTTGAAACCTTACCAGCGATCCTCTTGGTGAGTAGATATTTTGGATCTTCTCTTCATGTGTCTCAACTAAACATGAAGCACATATGCAGCTAAGACCATGATTTGCTGAAGAATGCAGGCTATGCTTAGCAACCACACCTCCATTATCAGAAGAGAAGCCTTGTCCTCCATTGGCTGAAGCCCACTTTCTTTTTCCCCTCCGTCTTTTTCTTCCTGCAGAGCTCTCCTGCAACAAGCCACTGTTCTCAGCACAATTCTTATTTTCCTTGTTTCCATCCTTATTCTTCAGTAAAACATCAGCATCATTTGCCTTTGACTGAGCACTACTAGGATCATCACCATTTATGGGATCCATATTAACATCAGCATGTCCTGATGCCCCTACGACATCTGTGCAACCATTTTCAGATTTATTGGCCACAGTTATATCCATGGCAACAACACTAGGTGATGCCTTTGCGGAATCTAGTTGCCCCTGCAACTTGTTCTTCTTTTTCCTCCTCTTCTTGCGTTTTGGTGTACTCTCCGAAACTAAAATTGGGAGCCAACTCTAATTAGAGCATTCTCTTAATAGAAATTAAATATGCTTGAGAAGAGAACACTAATCTATCTAATCATGTGAACCTGAGCATGAACTGAACTACTGAAAAGAAGTAACCATTGCCATTTGATATGATAAACCTTAGCTCTAGGCCCAAGTAAGAACACTGACATATGGTAAGACCAAAGGGTGTCGGGAGTTGGGACACACATACCTGAAACAACAGTGGTGTTGGCTTCCTTCTCAGGCATCAGACTGACCTTCACCTTGGCATCCTCCTCATTACATTTTGGTGTCCCCTCCATCGCTAAAATCAGGAAATCAACTATAATCAGAACTCTCTCTCTGTAGAAACCAGTACACACTAGAAACAAAACTGAATTTACTTGACATGTGGTGCAACCATATAAAGGTGAACAAAGAGTGAACCAGAACACCTGCTGCCTAGTTAATAAAACCTAGCTATCTACCTTAATGAAATGACGCGCAGTTCTCCTGCGCTGTTCGAAAAAAAAAAACCCTAGCTATGAGCTTTATCTTAAGCATTGTAGCCACATTATGGCAAGGTCAAAGGGTGCATGCACGCACACATACCAGAAGCAGCAGCATCGGTGGCCTCCTGCTCCTCCACCTCGTTTCGCTTTGCCTCTACTTGTCCCTCCGCCTCTGCTGCCGCTGTGGAATCCAAATCAGGCGGCTCCTGTTGCTCCTGAGTCTTTATCTTCTTCTTCTTCTTCTTCTTCTTCTTCTTCTTCTTGCATTTCTGTGTCCCATTCAAAGCTATGAACCAGAAAACAACCCGATTAGCACGATCTCTCCACAGAGTAGTAATGGCAATGAATTGCATAGCATGTGGAACAACAAAGTCGTTAAGCAAACGTTCATCTAAGGAACTATGTGGTCATGAACACAAACCGAAGCACACATCCCAAGTTGATACCATGAACCCTAGCTCTAAGGCCTACCAAATAACGGCTATGTTGCTGCGACACATAGCAGGGGCCGAGTTGAGGGCATGGGCGCTCGCATACCTGAAACAGAAGCGGTGGTAGAGTCCCGTTCCGCCGTCCCCATCTCCGCCGCCGCCGCTGCAGCCGGTGGCGTCGTGGAATCGAGATTTGACATCCCCTGCCCTAACCAGGACGAGAAATTAGAGATGACAGGGAGCTAAAGCGGAGGCATGAGCTCGCCGCGATGGAAGCCTGGAGCGCCTAGGATCTGGTGGCTACGGGGCCAAGGCGGAGGAGCCGTGCACGGGGCGAGTGGGCGGCGGCATCTCTCTCTGCTGCCGGTGGCGCGGCTCGGGATTTGGGGAACTATACAAAGGAGATACTACAAAGCTCCGTCACCCTTTCGCCCTTCGCCATTTTGGGCCGTAAATTTTAGTTAATGGGCCGTAGTAATCTTGAGTCCTTGACGGTATTTGATTTGATTGTGCCATTGACGGTGGGACTGGAAAAAAAAATCTATGCGACGATGACCTCACGATGAAAATTCTCTATTTTTTTTAAAACTAGCAAATATATCCGTGCGTTACAACGAAAAAAAACTATCTAATGTTAAGGTAAAACAAGTCTGGCTAGATTTTTTTATTTAATCATAAGGCACAAAGATGTACCCATAATGATATCATAATTTTAACTTTATAGTATCCATAGATATCGAGTTTGGTGACTCTTTTGAAAGACTCATAAAAATTTGTCAAACCGAATTTTCTTCGGTTATTGCGGTTCCTCAATATCAGGAACCAAATTTTTTATTTTCGGTTCTTTCGATTTTGGTTAATTATGTTTAGGCCTACAAACATGTATAGACGTGTTTTGTCTTAGAATCAGACTCTATACAGTGATTGCATCATCAATTTCATTTCGTTTTGAATCAAACTTCCTACCATGCATGGATGCATATTTCTCTAACATGGACATTAGATATTTTATATTATATATATATAATATGCGGATTAATCTAATATATGCAATACCATGGTTTTACACTTCTTTTGTCTCGTAAACTCTAAGGTGTTAACTACTCAATCAAATTTTTTATTATAGATCATATAAAACATGTGGTCTGTTATTTATCTATTTATTATAATTTATATGATTTTATGTTATTTATTTATTTATATATATGGGATCTGAGTACGATCTCTGGCTAGGCTTGTATTTTTACTTTTTGTCCCACGGGTGTACGAGTAGGCTTGTATTTTTTCCATTTTCTTTTGACAGGTGTTGGCGGTTTCCTCGCTGAACAGAAAAGAATGTAAACAAAGAAATTCTACTCTTCTTTTCCTTTTTATTAGATTTCTATTCTTATATTTTTTATTTGGATTAAGATTTCTATTTCGATTATTTGGAGTTGAAGAGATCTAATTGGATTAATATAAGATTCCTAATTGTCCATATTATTATATTTTTTCTATTTGATTAAGATTTGTATTCATCAAAAATCAGAAAGATCTAATTGGATTAGGATTTCTAGTTATATAGAGAGAAGGGCTACAGACGGTTTTTCACATTCACAAAGTTAGTTAAAGAATGGTCGGACAAAAAATAGGTGCAGAAAATTTTTGCCACTTTATTATTAGGTATAGATAAATAATTCATCGATTAGTTTGAGTCCTATCCTAATTTGATACAGACTCTGAGAAGGGCAGACCGAAGGACGGAAAAAAAAATCTAGGAAAAAAAATATGAATAGAACCAGGACTAGAATAAGAAAAAAATATATACAAGCATACCGGAGTGGAAAAAGAGACAGAACAAAAAGTTATGGTGGAAAAAAAGTTATGGCGGAAATTTTGTCTTTTTATTATTAGGTATAGATAAAAAAATCTCTTTGGATGTTGTAGCCCCAGTCACCACAATTTGAGCGGAGGCACTAGCGCCCGGAAGTTCGGCTTCCGCAGCGTGTCCGGACAAAACTTCCAGTTCCAGCGAACCAAACCGTGGTCCAGCTTCTAGTCGCAGGCCCATCGCAGCCCGCTCCCCCCCCTCGTCCGCCTTCACCCCGACTTTGCCCCACCCCACTGAAAGGTCCTAATATGGCTAGAGGGGGGTGAATAGCCTATTTAAAAATATACAAACCAACTAAAGCAATTTGATTAGTATGATAAATAGCGAAATACAAACTTGATCTAGCTCTACAAGGGTTACAAGCCACCTATCTAACAATTCTAGTTACTATGATCACTAGACACACAATTTACTAAGTCAATACTCACTAAGAGCTCTCACACTTTCTATACTAAAGAGCTCCACTAGATGAACTTAAGCTAACAAAGCAAACTCTCAATTCTAGCTACACTAAAGAGCTTGCTACAACTAGTTTGCGGGAATATAAATAAATAAGTAAGGTGATTATACCGCCACGTAGAGGAGTGAACTAATCACAAGATGAATACCAATTCAATCACTAGGAGAATACCAAAGGGCAAGAGATAACCAATTTTTCTCCCGAGGTTCACGTGCTTGCCGACACGCTAGTCCCAGTTGTGTCGACCAACACTTGGTGTTTCGACGACTAAGAGGTGTTGCACGAACCTCATCCACACAATTGGACACCGCAAGAACCTACCTATAAGTGAGATAACTCAATGACACGAGCAATCCACTAGAGTTACCTTTCGATGCTCCGCCGAGGAAGGCATAAGACCCCTCACAATCATCGCGATCGAAGCTAGAGACAATCACCAACCTCCACTCGACGATCCTCGCTGCTCCAAGCCATCTAGGTGGCGGCAACCACCAAGAGTAACAAGTGAATCCCTCAGCGAAACACGAACACCAAGTGCCTCTAGATGCAATCACTCAAACAATACACTTGGATTCTCTCCCAATCTCACAAAGATGATGAATCAATGATGGAGATCAGTGGAAGGGCTTTGGCTAAGCTCACAAAGTTGCTATATCAATGTAAATAGCCAAGAAAGTGAGCTAGAGCCAGCCACATGCCTTTAAATAGAGCCCCCAACGAAATAGAGCCGTTAGGCTATCACTGCAGCCCAACTCGGGGTGACCAGACGCGCCGGTCAGGTTGACTGGACGCTGGACCCCTACGTCCGGTCACCTGATGATCGCCATGTGTCATCAGCTTCAAATGCTGAGCGCTCGATCTTAACAGCTAGTCTGCTTCGCGCCACGTGTTAAGTTGCGACCGGACGCGCTGCTTAAAGTGACCGGACGCTCCGTCACTAGAATTTGGTCATTTCTAGTAAGGTTCCAGAGATGGTTTTTTATGACCGGACGCGTCCGGTCACGCCCGACCAGACTCGCCCAGCGTCTGGTCACTCACCCTCTTCTCTATGCACCGCCACGTCAGCAAGACCGGACGCTGAACATTGTTTAGTCAGAGTCCGGTCACCTGCGTCCGGTCTCAGGCCGATAGTAGCTCGAGCACATCCCTGATTTTATAATTAACCGGACGCTGCTCCTCGAGTCCGGTCACCACGTGACCAACGTCCGGTCACTGTTTCACAGTGACAACCACCTCCTTTACTTCACTAACTTCTCCACCCTTGCTCAAATGTGCCAACCACCAAGTGTATCACCTTGTGCATGTGTGTTAGCATATTTTCACAAATATTTTCAAGGGTGTTAGCTTTCCACTAGATTCTAAATGCATATGCAATGAGTTATAGCATCTAGTGCCACTTTGATAACTGCATTTCGACATGAGTTTCACTCCTCTTAATAGTATGGCTATCAATCCTAATTATGATCATACTCGCTAAGTGTCTCGATCACTAAACCGAAAAGCTCCTATCAATTTCACCTTTGCCTTCAGCTTTTTATTTTTCTCTTTCTTCTTTTCCAAATCCAAGCACTTGATCATTACCATGGCATCACCATCATCATGTCATGATCTTCATTTGCTTCACCACTTGAAATGTGCCACCTATCTCATAATCACTTTGATAAACTAGGTAGCACATAGGATTTCATCAATTCACCAAAACCAAACTAGAGCTTTCAATCTCTCCTTTTTGGTAATTGATGACAATCCTTTCACAAAGATATGAATTAAAATTCATTTAAATCCATGTTGATTGCCCAAGCATATTTACCATGTGTAAAAGGATATGGACAAGTTTCATGAATCCCATTTGGTAGTAATTGCTCCTCCTACATATATGCTAAGAGTTTAGATTGTAGCTTGCACATATGTTTAGATAGGAAATATAGGAGTCAATGTTTACCAAATGATGCTAAGGTATAAGAGATGGACCTTTGAAGCGTGATACCAATCGGAGTGCACCAATATACCATCCTTAGCACCATTAGTAACTAGACATACACAAAAACTAGAATACCCTATAAGATCAATATTAGAAGTAAAGTTCTAGTTTCCATAAAATGAACATAAGTCTAGTTACTTAATCTATGCATGCTAGTTTTTCATTTTATCATTCAAACCTACAACTAGCATACACCACACAAACATGAATATTGAAATTTAAAACATGTGCCATGCAAGCAAATATATGAAATGCACATTCGAATGCAACATACAAGTTTATGAGCTTGCTCCCCCTACTTGTGTACAATTTTGATTGATCCTCTTACAATGTCATTTCATTTGTTTGCTCCCTCTATCCTACTATCTTTGTGAATTTCTCTCCCCTTTATCAACAATTATCACAAAAGGTGAGCTCAAATTTTAGATAGGTTGGAGTGAAACCATGTGAAGTGAGGATCATTTTCTCAATTTGGTTCAATCTAGATTACTTGCAAAAGATATTTAACTCGGTTTGATCCAAGGGCAAGCTTCTTCACACCTCCAAAAGAGGATTATCAGGCACCATGTTGAGTTAAACACTTATAGCTCATTTTCTAGATTAAGCACTAGGTTTATAAGCCCACAAACATGTCATATGCTACCACTAGATCATTTCAATCATACAAGCAATAATGGTACCATACAAGCATCAAATTCATTTGATTTTCATAAATGAGCCTAAGACATGATGTGAATGACTAGATACACTAAACAAGTCCTTAGTAATGGATGAATGACATGTCAATCAACTTTACCTTGCTTTGTTCGAAGGAGAGGCATGTCATATAATGGGGGTGCATCAACACATATTTGAGAAGTCAAGTATGTTCAATTTATTCCTTAGCTTG